TTTTCAATATCTCTCCCTTCTCTCTTCTTCTTAGCCAGGCTTATTTCAAACTGGTAAATATCTAATTCCCTTAGCGGCTCTACCATGCACGCGAGTCTTTTAGGACAAACGCCTCGGAACAGCCCGTGCGTGGTGGTACTTGCCCTGAGGTGAATGCAGAAATCCACAGCCCTCCCAGCGGGGAACCCCACCCTGCTTAGAAATGCAGCGTCTGGGGCCCCTGGGCCGGGATCTCGAGGAGGAGGGAGCCCAGCCCCTCCCTGGCACACCCGCTGGCAACTCCTTCTCCAGGTTCCCGCAGACCCCCACAGACGCTCCTTCCCTCAGTGCTCGGGCTTTCCTCGGCTCCAGTTCCCCCAGCCCCACCCCGATCTCCAACGGCTTCCCCTAACTCTCTGGGGCGGATAATCACCCGCCGCCCCCCCTGTTCTCCCTTGTTTAAAGTTTGTTTTCTAAATGTCTTCTATTAGATTATGTGCGTTCATTCCCCCTCCAACCTTATCTCCTTCTGTCTCTTCTCTCCTTGCCGGTCACACTCCATTTAGGCACGAGTTTATCTGGCAAACAGTTTGCCGACTTTGTTTATTTACCGCGCGCGAGCGCCAGTGTTTGCCTTTGTAATAGTTATCTCATTGTTGTTCTTCGTTAGCCTCAGCTCCCTTCCCCCCGCCCCTTTCTCTCCACTGGCTGGGGGCAGGGTGGGGGGGGGAGGATGGAGGGAAAGAAAAGGGAAGTTGTGTCAGCCCGGTGTGGGCTCGCCCCCTTGACAGCAGCCCCCTCGGCTGGGCTCTTCCTCCTGCTACGCTCCCTCTCTGCTCACCCGCACACCCCCCCCAGCTCCGCAGAGCCTGCCCCCCTCCCCTCACCCCTCTGGTCTCGAGGAATATCCTCCACCCAGTGCAGCCTAAAGCTGGGGAATTGCCTGACACCCTCCCGGCTTCCTCCGAGCCCCCATTATGCGAAGCTGATCCCACTCTGAACAGCCTCAAATCCCGCCTGGACTCTGTTTGATTAGATTGCCAACCCGGGGTAATCCTTTGATTTGGTGGAGTGTCAATTACCTTTCTCTAAACACACATTTACAGAGGAGGGAACTTGTTGGTTTAAATCAATGCAGATTGTTTCTTGATAAATGGACTCGCTCGGTCCCCTCCCTCTCCGCCTCTTCCCTCAGCTCCCTCCGGTGCCCCCTCCTCCTCCCTACCCCATTCTCGCCTATCCGGTAAACAATGTCCCTTCCAGGTGTGAAGCCGAAAAAATGGTGTGGGCTAAGGGGAGCTGTGCCCCCCTTCCCCTATTCATTCGCTCCCCCGGAGCCTAATTAAATTTGGCAGGTTCTTGTATACACAATCAAAACAGCTTCCTCCAGTGTAGCAAACGACCGAAAACCGCATTAGCAGCTATCGCCGCTGCCAAATTAAATTGTTTTCCACCTCCTTTTACAAGTGTCTAAAACCGACACTTTGGGCTCTCCCCTCCTTTCCTACCCTTCTCCATCATTCCCGCTTCACACCTGTGAGTTCGCTGCATTAAAAAATGAATATAGGAAAAATGCAAAGGAAAACAAATCACACATAGATTCCACCCCCCCCCCCCCAATAGTCTTTCAGATGGGAGAAAGTCAGCAAATTCTTTGAGGGATTTTTACATCACCTCAGTACACACACACACACACACACACACACACACACACACACAGTGCACACTTTCTGCCCTTCATTTTAATCTTGTAACTTTCCTCTTTATTTCATATTTCCAAATCTGATCTGGTCTCAGCCTAAGTTCCTGCGTTGTTAGACTCAAGGCGTGGGTGTTATTCCTGACTGCTATTGTTAATGTTATTTACATTATTTTGTGTCCTCTGCTTCCACAGAAGAATGGTTGGATGCTTTGGAAACCCCTATCAAATTTCCCACAAAAGTCTCCCTGGACTCAGGCTGGGGGAAATCTTTTTCTTTTGAGTCTTCCCTCCAATCCTCTCCCAGTTGGGTCTCTGGCCTGCCTCTCTCCTGGTCCTGGCATGAGGAGCAGAGAGTCCAAATGGGCGAGGGCAGGAAACTGTCCACTTCCCTGTAGGTGAGCAGAGCATGACCTCAACCCCCATTGGCATCGGTCTGAGAAGTCTCACAACCAACAATCCTAATAACTCAGTCTTAACAAGGATAAGAGCAAAAAAAAAATATGAACAGCCTCATGAATATCAGCCCAAGGGGAGCAGGAGTGAGCTGTTCAGAGATGAAAGTGCACAGAAATAAAAGCTCAATTTAATCTGCTTTAAAACCCTTCAACTTAACGTTTGTGCTTCAAACTCTGAGAGTGAGGACTGATTGCGGATAAATAGTTTCTTACCATGCCTGGAAGCTATTACACCCCTCTCCAACACAGTTTCCTATTCAGCAGTCCCAGTTTTCATTACCAGCTCTAATAAGTCTTAACATTATTAAATGCCAAGCGGACGATAGGGGAAAACGGACTCAGGGAGGGATCTCTCTTTAGTGCTTAAAGAGGAGAACTCTTAAATCCCTTCTTCGGTGGCTCCCCACCATGAGAGGGGCGACCCCTGGAGAAAGCATTTGTCAGGAGCAAGAAGCTCAAACCAAGTTTGTAGGTAGATACATCCTCCCTCTGCTCTGCCCAGAGGTGGCTCTGCCTCTCCCCACCTGACCAGCTTGGTAGGGTGCTGGATGCTCTTTTCACCTTTAACTTGGCTATGGAATTAAGTTGCTGGAGGTCTGGGAGAGAAACCCTAGCTGGGTGTTTCACCAAGAGATCCACCCACCGACTGGCCACGTACTCAGGTGGAGAGTGGATCCAATCTGTGAACAGAGACTGGTGCCAGCCAGTTCTGATTCTGTCCATGCACTGCCACCTATAGCAGCATGATCAACCCGCGCAGATCCACCCTGCCCAGAACACAACCCAGGACAGAGGCCCAGCGGACAGGGCTCCTTGCAGATCATCACTTAGAGACCCAGGTGCTGTTGACATGGCCTTCAAACTCACAGTCATGCCCACCACCGTGCCCTCATCACTCAGAAATGAGGGGCTTCTGGCCACTAGAACCCCCACTGCCTTCCCCTCAGTTCAGCTCTGAAACTTCTCTCTAAACTACGCTAGAAGCCCGGCTCCCCCTTAAGCCCTTGGGAACGTGGCGCTTCCCTGGTCCTGCTGCTAGGAAACCTGTCTTCAGCGAAGCTGGTTTGTTCGCTCCCGTTGAAAGTCCAGCTCTGCTCCGGAACTCCCCTGACTTAAAGGAAGACCCCAGTCACATCATCTGGTCTTTCCACCACCATCGCCTTCTTCCTCAGAGGACATGCGTCTCAGCAGCTTCCTCCCACACTGAGTTGGACATACCCTACTACCACAGACACCTCCACTCTCCAAAGAAAACGAACTCTCCTCCTGCTTCTGTCTTGGATTGACTTGACAAAAAGATGACTGAAGCCCTCAGCACCCCTCCACCCCACCCCGAGAAGGGGGAGTCCCGCAAAGTCCCTTGCCAATACAAACTGAAACAGATATGGGTCTCCCTACAGGGGTCTGAGAGCCTCTGCCCAGCCAGAGGCTACTTGGCTGCTTAGGGCTGGAGACCGAAGCCTGAAGCCTGCGGCAGCCCGGCAGCCCATCGCAGTGGGGTGCCAAGCATAGTGGCCCGGGCCTCCTTCCCCCCCCCCCCCCCCGCCCCTTTTGTTCCGAGCTGGGCCTGGGCTCCTCTTTGGGGGTCTGAAAATCAAGCGCCAACCCCCTTCCCCAGATCTGGACTACTGTTGTGAGGGCTTGTCCCGGCCGCCTTCTGCGGGTGGGGGTTGCACAGGGAGTTGTCTTTGGAAGCGGGCTTTGTCTGTGAAGTTCATCTTCAAGGTTGAGAGAAAACCCTCAGCGCTGGAGAAGGACTTGGGCTAGGAGTGCAAAGGCGGGCAGGGAGACGGGAGCCCCGGAAGAAAGGAAGGAGGAATCTGCGCAGCTGCACACACTTCCAGGTTGGGGGCATTCCTGTACTTTTCCTGGGACCACATGGCCACCATCTCGGCCCTCCTACTTCCTTCCTGAGTCACTGAGGGTGTGGATGTCCTGCCCCCTGCCTTGGTCGCTCTGGCCCTTCCGGGTCTGCCCGTCTGCTCCCCGCTCCCCTCCTCTTACGTACACTTACAAATCTGAAAGACCCTCCAGGGGAAGGAGGGCCGATGCCCTTCGTTACCAGCAGGCCCTGGAAGGACACACTCTCTCCAGCTCACGTGCAGAGAGAGAGAGAGAGAGAGAGAGAGAGAGAGAGAGAGAGAGAGAGAGAGAGTGGAAAGGGGGCCCTGCTGCTCAAATCTGTTCCCCAACGAGATCCTTCAGATCTAGGCAACCTAGGCATCTGGGAAGTTGCCCTGTACTCCCACCCGCCCGAGCACTCAGAATGGGAACTCGCCTGAATAGTACACCCCTTTGCCCCCCACCTCACCCTCCCCCAGGGCACTGTCTAGGCTGACCCGAGAACTGGGCGGCGGCGGCGGCCCGCGCTAATTTTTATTGATTGCCGCGTTCAGTCAACTGTCAGGCGGGGTTTCAAGGGACCGTTTAGAGAGCGTGTGCGGGTCTGGTTAACAAATTCATTTAGGGAGCCGAGGGCCGACTCCTCCTTCCTCGCCCCCGCCCCCTGCCCAAGGTTCTTATAATAGATCGACACCAAGACCAGAAGCCAAAAAACCACCAGCCCCGGGAGGACACGCACACCGCCGCCAGGCAGCCGGGCCTTACTTAACCTGCAGCGCGCGGGGCTGTCCAGGTGCGAGGGGGCGGTCAGCGCCCCGGCTCGGCTGCGAAGGGCAGGCGCGGGCGAGGCCCACGGAGGGGGCACTCCCCTCCCCGCTGCCTGCGCGCGCGCTGCCTGCCAGCTCTCCGCCGGCCGCGCTGCGTAGACCCGGACCCCGACCGACTGCGGCGAGAGCGGAGCCGGCGCGCCAGCGCGTGGGAAAAGGCGCGCTCGGACGGCAGCGCGGTCCGAGAGTCCCTACCTTTGTCGCCCAGGATGCCGTCGATGCTGTGCTTGGCTTTCTTCTCCCCGTCATCCTCCTTTTTGTCGGTTTCATCCTCCTCCTCTTTCTTCCCGAACTTGATTCTGAGCACACGGCTAATCGAACTCACTAAACCTCAGAAATTCAAAGGCAAAAGAGCGGGTATAAGTTGTTTGGGCTGTTTGGACCGGGAACCCGCGGTGACACCCCGACCCCCAGCCCTGCGCTTAGGAGCAAGTTAAGGAGCCCGTGTCCCCCCCACCCCACTCCCGCACACAGCGATGGGATTCCCACCTGCTGCAAGACAACAACAAAAACCCCTATGCACATTTACATAAACATTAAACATTTACATTCTGCCAGTGGGACTGAAGTCTGGTACAGTGGGCACGCACCTGGCAGGCAGCAAGGCCCCTGCACTTCTGTCTCCCACTGCCACTCACCCGACACACTCCCACACATGGCAAGAAGTCATGGCAAACTCAGGTGTATGCCCCAGCCCTGCTTCCCTGAACGGACTTGTGCTCAGGGCACTGTCCCGCTTACAGGCAGCATGGCTCAGGGCTTCCCACAATTGGGGCCCCCTGGTGACCAATGGCCTCAAGAGAGGGAAATTCCTGGGGTTCCAGGCAAGAGCAATCGTCCAGGACAGGACTGGACAGCCCCTTCTCTATAGGCCACTTCTCTGAGCAAGTTCCAAGGAACGTCCTTATCACCACACCTTACAGAGTAACTTTTTGCTCTTTCCTCCCTTTCTCCCTCCCTTCCTCTCACCCTCTCCCTCCTCCTTTCTTCTTTTTTCCCCCTCTCTCCCTTTCTAAGTTTCCCTCTCCCACCATCTTTTCACTTTGACTTTGGATTCCCTTCTGGACCCTAACTTCACCCAACTTTCCTCAAGGTCCCCTGGCACCTATCACCGCCCATTCCCCTCCCACCTGCAGCCCCTGCGGAGGAGCCTGGCAGATGCAGGCTGGCAGCCTGGTCTACGCAGCTGCCTTCTCACCTGAGGGCACGGTGCTGCGGTCACAGTGCCCATCCTTCAGCAGCCGATCTCGGATCTCCCAGCTGAACATGCCCGGGTTTTCTCTCTTGTACTCCTCGATCTTCTTCTCCACGTCCGGAGTGGCCACCTGCTTCAGAGGTGGAGGTGGGGGAGCAGGCATGGAGAGACGGGGTGGAGGAGGGAGAGGCTTTTAATATCAACCTCCTAAGAGTCCCAGGCCCGGCTGGCGGGACAGGTCACTATCCCTCCCCTTCCCTCCTCAGGAGAATGACCTGATCCTGAAAAACCCAAACTCTTCCTGGCTTCCAGAAAAACAAAAAAGGGACAGGGGAGTGATAGGTCATATAAAGAGAGACCTTCCTGAGACCTGCTCCCAAATTCCGGCACCCTTTTAGGTAAGGATGAGGGAAGATTACCCCTGGTCTGGATAGTGATGGGAACTCATTGTCCCCAAAGTTCTTGGTAACCTGGACATCATCAGTTATTCCCATCTAAGAAGAATTTGGATAGTGGGTAGGGGGCATCTAGGAGTGAAGAGTCTTTCTAGGGGACACACTCAGATACCCGTGGTGCTACTGGATGACGCGGTAAAGTGAGGGGGTAGGACCCCACGGTGGGAAGGCCATTTGCTGGCTCTCAGGCTAAGACACTCACTCTGGGCTTGCTGCCGCCGATGGCCCCTGGCCGGATGGACCCGGTCTCCTGGTAGCGGCAGAGAATCTTGGAGACGCAGCCATGGGAGACCCGCAGCTGGCGGGAGATGACGCAGGGTCGGATGCCGTGGTGGGCCATCTCCACGATCTTGTGGCGGATGTGGTTGGGCAGGGGTCGCCCGTTGATGAAGACCCCCCCAAGCTGGTTGACACGGCCTTGGCCCAGCGGGGTGGACACTAGAAAAGGGAGAAACTGCAGCTGCGAAGGGGGAGGAGATGGAGTGCACCCCTTGATTTTTGTTTTGTTTGAACTCCAAGAGTCTGGACAAGCAGATGTTGAGAGTCCTCAAGTTTAGAGAAGTGTGTGGGGGGGGGAGGGTGTGGAGCAGCCACGGGGGTCCTGCAGGAGTGAGGAGAGTTACAAGAGTCTCACGCCCCCAAGCTTCATGCCCCTTGTAGTGCCACATGTGTGTGTGTGTGGGGGGGGGGCAGAATCCCTCCGATAAGGGGAACTAGAGAACAAGAAGTGAGCTGGAAGAGGGTGAAAGTGCTGGCCTCTGGGACAAAAAGCGCCATGTCCCCCAAATGCCCTGTGGGCCACAGGCCTGCCTGTGCACTAGAGAAGCCACCCCGACTGCAGCCGGGTGAGACAACCGTGGCCATCCAGCTGGGCCCAGGAGTGCAAAGGTCAAGTCAGTTCCAAATAACGGGGAGGCCAAGGGACTGGTTGATTAACAGTAGGTGCAGTCCTGGCTTGACAGTCCCAAACGATGCCATCCATAATCGAACAGCTTAGGCACAGCCCAGGGAGGACGGAGGACACAACGCCTTGGGTTGCTACCTCTGGAGGGGATACCCAGCTGTGCCCAGAGCTACTGTCCTTGCTCCCAACCCTTATTCAAGTTTTAATTTCGTTTGGGGATGGTTTGGGGGACCTGCTCCATTGTGGCCACACTCCTAAATCAAGTACCCGCTTGGCCGAGAAATGCAAGCGCCATCCACCAAGATGCAGAGAGGGCTGCTTGCAGAGGAGCCGAGAGTCCCAGGCAGGGGTGGTATCAGAACCTTGAAGACAGGCACCCCTTGGGAGGCAGGGTGGTGGTGGTGGTGGGGGGGGGGGGAGAAGCCTGGGAAGACTTAATGCAAAGTCTACACAATTTCCTCACAGAAGCTCGGGGGACACCGGTGCACTAATCCATCCTCGATCTCCCCAATTTGGGGACTCGGCGGCTGCAGAGATCTGGCAGATTAGAACAATTTCACAGCCTCGGAGTGGAAGGAGCAGACAGTATAATTGCAAGGGAGGAGGCGGGAGACGGCTCGGGCGGCTGAGCCGTTCTGCCGCCTCTTCCCTCTCTCCCCGGGTCCCCCCACCACCTCTCTTTGTAAAAGTGGGTGTCTGCAGCCACCCTCGGATTTAATCAGAAATCGTGCGTCGCCAAGTCGGAGTCACTCGGTCTCCGCGGCGGGATATGCCATTAGCGCTGGAGGGCTCTCGAGCGCCCAACTTTATATTCAAGAGCCTCTTTAGCGACCGGCACTCGGCTCTTCTCAGTATTCTCCGTCATGTTGGGCAAATATTGTTCTAATCCGCCGCGCGCCCGCGGCCGCCTGTCTTACTTGCATTCGCTACAGCACAGTGCCACGGCAAATCCCCGGGCTTCTGCGCTCTCCCGCCTGCGTGGCTGCCCGCGCGCACTTGATCACGGAGCCGCTCTTCTTGCCTCTGTCTAATTCAGAGACCCGCTGCCAGGGGGACCACCTCCCCCCAACCGGAGCGCCGGCTGCCTGCCCCAGCCTGCCTCTCCTTCCTCACGTTGCGGGGGTGGGGAGGGACCGCATACAATGACAAGGACAGTCATTAAAATAATAATAGTAGTAATAATAATAATAATAATAATAAATCTCTAGGGCTCCAACTTGACACCTCCGACTTCCTCTGCCCAGGAGCGTGAGGGCCCCTCCGCTGACAAGTCAAAGACCTTAAATTCGTTTACAAAGGAAACAAAATAGAAACGCAGGACAAAGTTCTAGGCGGTGGTGATTTTCGGCCCTTTCTCCACCCGGGAACGGCCGTTGGGGTGCTGGCCTGGTAGAAAGGACCCAACACGAAATGCACACTGTCTCCAACTCCGGATAACCCAAGAGGCCCCTCTGGCGCTCTCCCAAGTTCTCTCCCTGGAGATTCCCAGAGCTGGGAAACCCCCCACCACCACCCCCCCACTCCCCATCCGGTGAAAAGTTGAAGGAGGTAAAAATTCGTTACTATTTATCCTTTCGAACGGTTCTGCAGACCCAAAGCGGGTGAGTTTCTGAGCGAGGCTTCGCAGGAAGCCGCTATGAGCCTTCCTGGTTTAGATCTAGAAAAGTCTCGCCTGTGGTCGGTTATTTCGAAATAAAAGGGCTTGCAAATAAAATAAAATAAGACCATGTCCCGGCTGTAAAGAGCAACTCGTAACTCGAGCAGGAAGTCCACAACCTTCGAAAGCTGGCAGCCTAGAAAGAACGCCGGCATCGGGTGTGGGAAAAGGATGCGGAAAACAGTGGAATTCGCCCGAAAGGAGCGGATCCCCCGGGTGCGGGTCCCGGCGGGCCGAGGTCGGAGTGAGTCGGCGACCTGGACAGCTGCCCTCGCACGGAAAACAAAAAAACGGAAAAAAACAAAAAAAGCCAAACCAAGGAGCCCCGAGCAGGGTGGGTGGGTGTATGTGCCAAAGTTCTCGGAGCGGGCGCCCGCGCTTGGCCCTGGGAGCGGCGGGGACCCCGCTCGCCCGCCGCGCGCGCGCGCTGCGGCCACCCCGGAGCCCCGCGCCCCGGCGCGCTTACCTTCCAGCGGGAAGCCGGTGCGCGGGTAGTTCTGGCCCGGGGCTGGCCGCATCATCCTGGGGACCGTGCCGGGCAGCGCCGCCATGCCTGCACGCTCGGCTCCCTGCACCCCCGCTGCGCTCCCTTTCTTCCCCGCTTCTTCTTCTTCTTCTCCTCCTTCTTCTTCTTCTCACTCTTTTTTTTTAACCTCTTCCCTCCTCCTCCCCTACACACACACACACACACACACACACACACACACACACGCACTCTCTGACTCTTTCTCTCTCCCTACCCCACCCCCCCACCCCCACCCCCGCCTGGAGTCGGACGCGGCCAGAAGCTGGGGAGGGGGTGAGTGGGACAGAGGCTGGCGGCGGAGGGTCGGCGAGCGGAGGAGGGAAGGTGGCGACGAGGAAGTTCAAACAAACAAATACACACACACACACACACACACACACACACACACACACACGCCAACACCAAGTCCGCCGCGTCCCGCTCCCTCTGCCACAAGTTGTGCCGGGCTGGTGGACGCGCCGGGCCGGGCCGGGGAGGTGCGGGGCCGGGGGGCGCGCAGACAGAGGCGGGCCTCCCTCCCGCACCCCGGCACGGCCAGCCAGGCGCTCCCGAGCTCCGGGCCAAAGTTTCTGAGCTCGAGCCGCGCGGCTGCCCAGTGGATTTCGTTTGCGTATTTATTTATATATTTATGCCCTCGCCCTCGCTCGCCCGTGCGCTCCCCCTCGGCGCCCCGCTCCTCTGCAGACCGCACTCGCTGCAACTCCTTGACACGCAGGCAGGCACCCCCCTCCCTTCACCTCCTCCCCGCCCGCCCCCCTCAGACTCCGGGACTTGGGGAGGAAGAAGGTGCCTCTCGGGTTTCGGGGGCTGCAAGAGAGGTGACAGGGGGTGACGGGGCTGAGAAGAGAAGCGGGAGAGCGGAGGGGTGAGTGATCCGTTGGTAAGTTGTGCAAAAGTGCTGCACCGCGGGAGGGGGGGAGGAGGGGGAGGAGGAAGAGGAGGAGGAGGAGGAGGAGGAGGAGGAGGAGGAGGAGGAGGAGGAGGAGGAGGAGGAGGAGGAGGCAGCCAAAGAGATCTGATAGGTTCGGACTTTTCTTTTATTCATGAGGAGGGAAGAGGGAACAGGGCCAGGGCGGAAGGGAGCCCAGGACCGAGAGCGAAAAGAAATCTCCAACGAATATGTTTTTTTCTCTTTTCTAATCCCCAGCTCGACCACCTTGTGGGTTTGTGTGTGTGTGTGTGTGTGTGTGTGTGTGTGTGTGTGTGTGTGTACACGCGCGCATGTTTGAGAATTTAAACTGCCTTTTTAAACAGATGGGGGTGGGGGGGGAGGGCAGAGGCCAGGGGTTGGAGGAAGGAGAACAAGGATAGGACCAACTTTGTCCAAGTGTCTTCCTTTGACGAATGGGCCAGATCGCCGTCTCCAGGCCGCGTTGGCCTCCATGGAAATGCAGCCGCATAGGTGGCAGGGCCAGAGTGCGTGTGCTTCTCCATGTGCTCTTCTGCACACGTTTCCTCTCCGTGTTTCTCAGTCTGCCCACTTGCCCTGACATATATATCTACCAGTGGGAGCCCCCTGGAAATTGCCAGCAGGAGCCCCGAGTGAGGGGCTTGTGGCTTTCTCAGGGGAACTGAGCCCCAGCTGTGAAATCCTGGTCTGGCCTCCTGCAGCTGCCGTGCAGTGCTTTAAAGCTGGGTCTGCCTGGCTTAGGGACCCACCACTCCCTCCACCCTGTGCCCACAGCTCCCTATCTGCAGACCCCTAGGCTCCAGCCCCAAACCCCCTTCCCAAAGCCGGACCTCGGAACCTCGATTCCTGGGCTACATGGAGTGAGTGCCAGACTTTTGGGGGTAGGGCTCCACAGGATGGGGTTGGCCCATCAGGACAGTCCCGCAGGAAGCCATCACTCTGCACCCCTTCAGAAGTGCCATTGGAGGGGGCTTCCCCACTAAATCATCAGAATGGGGCGGAGGATCAGAGACCCTGCAGCCAGAATGACTCCATGGCCCTGCCTGGGGACCCCGGTCCTGGAGTCGAAACGCCCTCCCAGCGGGGCAGGTCGCCAAGACTTGCAGGCCTTTTGTCTCCCCCAGGGAAAGAGCGTCTCCAGCCCTGCGCTGGAGGCCAAATACAATAAAATAACCCCCCAGCTCCAGCTCACCCCACCCGGCCAGCCCGCCCCCGGCCCGCCCCCTCACAGGGCCTGGGTCAGCGTGCTCTTGGCCTGGGGGGCTCTCCTCAAGCTGGCCCCAGTGTGGCCCCTTCCCCTCCCCTCTTCCTCACCTGTGACCTTTGCCCCTCTCAGTATGAGATAGACCCCCCTCCCCATTCTCTCCACTCTTTCCTAACACTGGGGCCCCTCAGGCTCTTGAAGAGGAGGCACTTGGGGAATGTCCCTCCCCACCCACACACCACAAAGTCATTAAACCCTCATGTGGCCCTAGAATTGAGGAGCAGGAGCGAGAGGCCAAGTTGCTCTCAGAGTGGTAAGGGGACTCCTGGCAGCTTGTCTGGCCCAGATCATGATGCCAAACTGCCGAAGGTGTGTGTGTGTGGGTGGGGGGGGGGGGGGGGAGGCTAAGGTGCTACCCGACTATGACCATCTCTGCCAGAGCAGTTGGGAGTAGAAGTCTTCAGTAAGAGTGTGTCCGGGGAAGATGAAATGAGAGTGGGGTGCTCTTGTCATTTCTTGCTGGAGGGCCTGGCGAGGCTTTCTGAAGTGGTCCTGTATTTTCTTTGTACAGCCGCTGCCATGCATATGCATGCAGATGGCAGAGAAGAGACACACAGTGGATGCCTTCTGGGGAGGGGGGTCTCTCACCCACTCCTCACTCAGCTCCCCCTGCTGGGAAAGAGGAGCAGCCCTCTTCTTTGCAGCCATGGCTGGGAAGGGCTAGGTGTTGGGGGGGCGGGCGTCTCATGCCCCATTGGGGTGTCCAAGGGAAGGTGTAAGGTCTGTGGACTTTGCCGACCAGCCCACAGATGTGTGCTTAGAAGTCAGGGTCTGTGGGCCAGATAGATAGTAGAGTGGGTAGGCTGCTTGCCTTGCATGTGACTGTCCCCTGGTTTGATCCTTGGCACCCTGTATTATAGTTCCCCAAGCACCACCAGGAATGCTTCCTGAGTGCAGAGCTAGGAGTCATTCCTGAGCACCGATGGTGTTCCCCTCACCCCCCATCCCCTAAAGAACTCAGGGTCTGAGTCTCTGCTTTTTGGAGCACTTTCCACAGAGCCCCTAGGTGTCTCCTGGGTGCTGTGCGCTGTGGGCGGGAAGTGTCCCTCCATCCCTCTTCACGGACTTTGGTGAGTGGTTTAGTTTAGAGTCCCAAAGCCCCATGGTTGCTGCCTGTACCTTAGGGCCCCCTGGCACCCTCTGCAGGGCTTCCCTTGAGCTGGTGTGGTCCCGCACGCACTGCAAGCTGCTTGTCCAGCCACAGGGGGGGATGGGGGGGACCCCTGGGCAGGTGCCCTCAAACCCCAGCCTTGGAGGCTCCAAGGCGGCCTTTTGTGGCTTGGGGATTTCGTAGGCTCCCGCGGGGGGGGGGGGGGCGCCAAGGGGGAGGGGTGTCTCCGAATGAGCGTGGCAGCTCTGGCCTGTTGGAGACCAATTTCACAAATGATTTTTGCAACAATTAAGAAGTGTGGCGGGGTGAAATGGCAATTTCACATCCAGCAGCGGAAAGGGGGGTTCACCTGGGAACCGGGGCCTCTGCAGCTGGGGGTGGTGGAAGAATCCTTCCCCTCTTCTGAGTTCCACTAGCTAACCTGCTTGCCCAAAAGTACTCCCCAAGCAGACATTAATCAATTCCTACCTAAAGCCCCCCCCACCCCCAATCCCACTGCTTAAGCTACCCAGGCTCTGGTGTTGTGAGTGTTGGGGTGAACTTGGAAAAGTTCCCTCAGCCCCTCACCCTAATCTTTCCGCCCCCCCCTGCCTTGCTAACTTCCCTCTCCTACCCTCCCTCCCTCCCTCCCTCCCTTCCTCCCTCTCTCCTTCTCTCCCTCTCTCATGCATCTGTTTCCCTCGAACACTTTGTTTCTTTCTCATACCTGCTGTCTCCATGTTTCTGTCTGTCTCTATCAGTCTGCCTGTCTGTCCCCTCACTTGGGTTCCTCCTTTCTCTTTGTGTCTCCTCCTCCCTTTCCCCATTTTTTCTGACTTCTTGCCTCCCTGTGGGGTTCTTCTCTGGTTTGTTCCCTTCCTCTGCCCCTCCGCCTCCTCCCCCATCTCCATGGTTTCCGGAGGTATGTGCAGGTTTCCATTGCTCTCCCAGCCAAGGCCCAGGGAGGACCCCTCCGGTCCACATGGGCAGTGACCCCCGGGGAGGGCCTCTCTTCTCTTTGGAGCCACCTGAAGTCACCTCCATAGGGGGATCTCCAGGCCTCCACCCCCAGCCTCACTCCTGTCCTGCTGCTTACTGACGCTCTGAGCCCCTGTCCCCCTCTACTTCTCTGTGGTCCCCATCCCCCCATACACATACTGCTTGCTTTATTTTATTATTACTTTTACCTTTTTCTGGTGAAGGGTTCGGGACACATTCATGATGCTCATGGCTTACTCCTGGCTCTGCTCTGCACTCGGAATTACTTCTGGTGGGGCTCTAGGAACCATGTGGGATGCCAGGTTGCTCGCATGCAAGGCAAGTGCCTTACCCGCCATACAACCTCTCCTATTTTAAAAATTATTACTATAGGTTTTGTTTTGGGGCACACCCAGCGATGCTCAGGGATTACTCCTGGCTCTGACTTAGGAATTTCTCCTGGTGGTGCTCAGGGGACCGTATGGGATGCTGGAAATTGAACCCTGGTTGACTGTATGCAAGCACCCTCCTTGCTGTCCCATTTCTCCATGATGTTTTCATTTACTCCAGGAAAAAAAAATAGCAAATGTTAGGTCAGAGATATAGTACAGGGGATAAGGCACTGGCCTTGCTCAGTGCTGATCTCAGTCCATCCCTGGCACTACATATGGTCCACCAGAAGGGACCTCAGTAGTGACCTCTCAGTATAGAATGAGGTGTAAGCCCTGGGTACTGCTAGGTGTTGCCCTCTATAGAAATTTAAAACAACAACAACAACAACAACAATGTGCTGGATTTCTGTCCTGAAAGTCAGTTTTTTTGGGGGGGATGGGGGGTCACACCTGGTGATGCTCAGGGGTTACTCCTGGCTCTGTACTCAGGAATT